CGGCCGCGGACGAAGGCGCCGCGCCCGACGCGGCCGCGGACGCCGCGCCCGACGCGGAGGCGAAGCGCGCCCGGCCCGCCCGGGACGCCTTCGCGGGCGTGCTGGAGAACGAGGGCAACGTGACCGCCATCCTCGGCTTCTCCGGATACCGGAGCGTGCTCGTCCTCGAGGCGCTCAACCGCCGCGCGCGGCGCGTCGTCCGCGGCGCGAACGTCCAGCTCGACGTGTCGCGCGAGGCGGACCTCACGGTCGCGGTCCGCACGGCGGCGCGGGCCGAGCTGCTCGCCGCGCGGCGCGCGGGCGTCGCCGACTGCGACCAGATCATCTTCTTCTCGACGCGGCAGGAGCAGAAGCCGATCGACGTCGTCTGCCGCGGCGGCTCGACGCTGCTGCTCTCGCCGCCCCCGCCCGCGTCCGTCGACGGGTTCCGCGGCGCGGACGCGGACGCGACGCGCTCGACGCTGGCCGCCGCGGCGGGGGTCCGGCACCGCAAGGCGCTCCTGTCGCTCGGCCACGTCTCCGTCGAGCTCGGCCCGGAGGGCGGCTCCGCCCAGCTCCGGTCTCAGATCCGCAACTTGCAGAAGATCACGCACCCCGCCTCGGCGGCCGCGCCCGAGGACGCGAAGAAGCTCGTGGACGCGATGGGCGGCGAGCTCGCGGTGCCGCGGCGCGTCGCGCTCGCGGCCGGCCGCCGCCCGGTGCATCCGCAGCGGCGCAACGGCGCGCGGTCGGACCTCGACGCCGCGATGCGTCGGGCCGCGTCTCTGTCGGCCGTCCTCGACGAGGCCACGATGCAGCGCATCGTCGTCTTCGCCTGGAAGGCCATCTCCCATCACGGCTGGGGCTTCCTGTCCGAGGCCGTCTTCCTCGAGGAGGTCTGCGGGCCGGCCGGCGCCGTCGGCGCCAAGGGCGCCGCGGTCTGGCAGGAGGCGTTGAGCGGCGCGCTCCTGCCCTTCACGCCGGTCGTCCTTCCCGAGGACGTCGCCATGACAGATGCGCACGTCGGCCGCCGCGACCGCGGCGCGGGCGGCGGGGACCCGATGTTCGGACCGCCGGGCACGCGCGCGCGGGGCTTCGGCGACGTGCGCACCGGCGACGTCGCGGCGCTCGGCGTCTTCAACTGGCTCTGGCCCGCGGTGACGGGCTACGCCCTGACGTCGCTCGCGCGCGACGCGGCGACCTGCTTCTCGAACTCGCACTTCATCGCGGCGACGACCTTCGAGCGCTTCGTCGTCTACCAAAACGACGCGAGCTTCGACAACGACCTCGGCATTTGGAGCGTGGCGCTCGCGGTCCTCAAAGATCTCATGAGCCGGCGCGATGGGGAGGCGACGAGTGAGCCCGGCCGGCGCCGCGGGTCGGAGGCGATCCGAAGTCTCCTGCAGCCCGATCGCTTCCGGGCGCTCGCCGCCGGCGACGCGGTCGACTTCGAGACACAGGGCAATCCGGAAATGCTTCGCAGCTTTGAGCTCTCCTGGGTCCGCGGCTCGGTCGTCAGCCTCACGGACGAAAAGGCCGTCGTCCGCTCTGGCGACACTACCGAGGTCGACATCTACCTCGGCCGCCTGCGGCTCGTCGAAGAGAAGCCTTCCCCGGCGATCGTGCTGCTGGCGCACGCGATCGGAGATCATCGGCACGACATCGTGCGCGAGATCCTCGCGTCGCCGCTGATGACTTCACCGTGCTCCTACACCGTCGGCGATCCAGGCCAGACGCGCATGCTTCTACCTGGCTTTCCGGTCTCCACTCCCACGGCAACACGAGCGACGGTGCTTGACCACGCCATCGCCGCGTGCAACTCTGTCGGCATCGGCCTTCTGTCGGCCAAGTATTTAGACAAGACCGCAACCTGCTACGGGAGCGCCTGGCGGGCGGTCCGCTCAAGCTGCCGCTACCTCGCGCACGCGGACACGGCGAGCACCTCGCCGGCGGAGCGCTCCGAACTTCACTGTGCGCTCCGGCAGAATCCATATCCTTTCATCGGAGCTACGAATGCCTGGTTGTATCCTGTTCATTGGATGCGCGAGAAAATGGATCCACTTTCCGTCGCGGCCGTTGACGGCGATCTCGCCGCGTGTCGCGCGTATCTGTCTCACTATTTTGGAAAGACGGCCCGCGCCTGCATGCTGTCGCTTCCCATCATCCCCTCTTTCTGGCGGTCTGATGCGACTGAGGTGATGAGCAAATATCGTGGCGTCATGGGTATGGCCCTGTCGTATGCCTCCAAGATGGGCCGCGAGGAGGTCGTATCGGAAATTCTCTGCCGTATGACCGTCGGCGGCGTGATGCAGTCAA